GGCTACATGGTAGACAAACAACCTGACAATTTAGGACATATTTTAATTTAAAAGGTGGCACAAACTTAAAAAAAAACATAAATAAAAATCGGTGAAATAAAAATAAAAAAGCTGCTGGTAATTAAAAATAAAAAACAAAACAAAAAACAGTGCTGTGATTATCCTTCAAGCCATCTCGCAAAAGTTGACACCAGAGAGTTCAGCCTTATTTGCAAACTTTACCGTGATTGGTTGTTTACTGAGGGGGCGGGTCTCTGCTGCCTGCAGACAGCTGGCCTGACCAATGACGTAATGAGCTATAAACGTCATTGGGCCTGACACTCAGCACGGAGCAGAGGAGACAGGGGTGAGAGAAAACCTGTCCATTTATTGGCAGATTTGATTTGAGGGGCCAGGGCACTCACAGCCCCTGCTTGTCCAGACCTCGTGAACAACCCCTCCATTCTTCCTCAAGCTCACATGAGGAGCTTCCATTTTCAAACACTGGTGAAACTGGCACATGGAATCAAAAGGCTCTTTCAAAAGACGCCCCAGTCTGGGCCTGACACGTTTATCTCCACCTCTGTGCGTGCTTTGGTTAGGGTGAAGACTGAAAAGAGTTAGAAGTTTGTGCTGTTGTGAAGGCCCATTTCTGCCACTTTCGAAGAGAAATAATTCCTTAAGTCATAATTATAAGATGCTCATAATCCATAGTAAATTTAATATTTTCTACTGACATATTTCACATTTTATTGCCTCAATAGCAAATACACAATTTGTGTTTTTGATTCGATTTTTATTCACAGATCTCTTTTGTTAATGAGACATAACTAAAATAATAAACATGATAAAATAAATCATTTAGGCTAAAAAAACACTAAATATGAATCATGTTATCAAATGTCTGCAGCATAATTTGAAATCAGTAGTCAGACTTTGTTGCCAACAACTACGAGTTTGTTTACATTTAAACACTGATGATTTCAGAGTCTTGGTGGGCTGGAGTTGGTCATAAAGTCAGAGTCAACAATGAGACCAGAGGTGCCATGTTTGAGAGCAAAAAGGTAAAGTTCTCTCTCTTATTTATTTATTTATTTATTTATTTATTTATTAAATCGAAAGCTGTGGGGATGAGAGTGAACAGAAGTAATTCGGGGAAGGAAATGTAGCAATAGCGAGTATTAAAGCAAAGGTTAGAGGTTAAATGTAGCCAAGCTGTTCTGAGGAACATTTCCATAAACTACCAAACTGGTTGAATTCAGCTGTAAAATAGGTCAGGAATATACTGTCATGGTCTGTGTTTATTTTCCTTAGTTTTCAGCGTTCCCCTGTGTTTCTCTGCCCTGCAGCTCCGCCCTCTCTCACCTGTGTCTGCTCCAGGTGTGTCTTGTTGCTCTAATTAGTTTGCCTTTATATTCTGTGTCCTGTCTTCAGTGTTCGTCTGATCATTGTGCTGCTTCCCTCAGCCTCCTGCGTCTCCTTCGTGTTCCAGTGAGTTTTGCTGCAGTGTCAGCTGTTTATTTTGGTTTTCTAAATAAACTCTTTATTTTTGTACTTTGGCTCCTGCCTGCGCCCTGGGTCATTCTACACATCCTCACATATAAAGGTCCTTCGCAAAAAAGTTAGCATATTGTGATAAAGTTAATTATTTTCTGTAATGCACTGATAAACATTAAACTTTCATATATTTTAGATTCATTGCACACCAACTGAAGTAGTTCAAGCCTTTTATTCTTTTAATATTGATGATTTTGGCAAAAAAGTAAAGAAAAACCAAAAATCCCTATCCCAAAAAATTAGCAT